TACGTGTACGTCATACAAGTACCAAAGAATACGTGTACTTCATACAATTAGCAAAGTATGTGTGTACTTCATACAAGTACCAAAGAATGCGTGCACTTCATACAAATAGCAAAGAATGCGTGTACTTCATACAAGTACCAAAGAATACGTGTACTTCATACAAGTACCAAAGAATGTGTGTACTTCATACAAGTACCAAAGAATGTGTGTACTTCATACAAGTACCAAAGAATGCGTGTACTTCACGTATTAGATACAGAGAAAGAAAACATCCCAATAAATGAAATTCAACAATTCAACAAAAAGATATAGTCAGTGTGTCTTACCAAGAAAACGACCATGGGAAATGTGTACTTTTCTGTGTTATTCTCAATCATTCGTTTCAGAAGTCTGTTGTCGTTGTTTCTTGACAGCCGACTGGGAATCTTTCTGCACCAAGAAACTGTCACGTGACATGTGTCCCTTCCTTGGCTGGAGAATTTTTACAATCAGGATTTCTGTCAGGCAGATCTTGGGGGGGGGGGGGGGGGAGTTAAGTGCTCCCTTGGAGAAAAAATAATTTAACGGGCGAATGCATTAAGTGCACATTTGATCAACTATTATATCGAAAGCGTCTGTCTTGTCTTGTAATGTGCTACTTTTGTCAAAATGTTTCCTAAGTAACAGAAGTTGAACAAAGACGTAACCTATATTTATTATGACACACTTTGCACGGATTTTTTTTTTAAAATATTTTTTCTAGATAAGAATCTTTCAAAAAGCTAAAAAAAATAAATAAATAAATAAAAATAAATATTGTTGTGAACTAGCATTTCATATTATCATGTCAATTCTTTTCTTTCTTTTTTTTTTTTTTTTTATTTTTATTAGTTTTAAAAAAAATTTTTACTCCAAAATTTGTTCAATTTGAAATAAATTCTGTGTTTTTGGTTTTTAAAAAAAAAACGTGTTTTAAAATACATCTAAGACGTCATTTCCCATTTATCTGAAAAAGGTTATATAGTATTTTGAAATTAAACATTAACATTTCAATCAACTGAATATTGTGAAATATACACTTTCTTTGAATACGATTTCCCATATACAAAATCCCAAATGACTACATGTATAAATATAATGTCTTTTCTTAACAAAACTCAGGGCTTCTTAAAATAGTTACACATAAGATTTATAAAAGTGACCAATTTCCACAAGCCATAAAAATGAAAAGACTTTTCTAATTGTAGAATGGTGCAAAACTCAACTCAGATATGTGATAAAATGCATTCTTGTATTTTTAATTTATCAAAAAATTCTGGGGACTATAAAGATTTAAATGGCGAGAATAATCTAGGAAAAAAACCTAGAATGAATATAGTTTACGTCCCACTGGTGTGGAATTTAAGATGCATTTGCTTAATATTATGGCTAATTTTGGCACTTCCCACCCGAAAGTTATGAAATAAAACAACAAATTCAAGTATGCGCTAAAATGCACCCTATATTACTGCACCCGCTTTACTCACGCTGATCAGTGGTACAGTATGGGGTTGATTATAAGCTTGTGCCAAATGTTTACTCTGGGGAATACCACAAACGGAGTGAATTCAGTTCATGTAGGTTAAATTGACGTTGTCACTGGGCGCCATAATGCCTCGTACAAAACCTTAAAATGAATTTCCCCGTTCAAAAAGTATAATAGAAACATTGCATTCAAGCATTCTCAAAAATGGTATGGCATCTTCCCGTCTGCGAGAGACGATAGATTCATCTTTTTAGCTTGCAGCTCTTAGTGTAGCTAGTGAGACCAATCCTTGAGTGACAGTCTCTCTTGCATATCCCGCACACAAAAGCAGTGGAGCAGTGTTTACCGGCCTTCCAGTGTTTACCGGCCTTCCAGTGTTTACCGGCCTTCCAGTGTTTACCGGCCTTCCAGTGTTTACCGGCCTTCCTCCTCGCTTTTTTAACAGCTGTTTCCGCCCTGTTTTGCTCCTCGGCACGTAGTCATCCTTCCTTCACGATGTCTCGCCATGTGGATCGATCCTCTGACAGGGCCTCCCAGTATGAGATGTCGATGTTGGCGGCCTTCATGTCTCTTCTGCATATGTCTATGTATCTGAGACGAGGCCGTCCAACCGACCTTTTTGAACTAATCCCTCCATCGAACAAGATTAATATCGGCGCCCTCAATGTCCACCCTACTTCCCAATGAAATCATCGCCTATTTTGGTATCTATAGATACACTGCCTAGTGACGCAGCTACTAATTAGTGCCACCATGGGCGGTTAAATATTTTTGCCGTCCTCTCTTTCACAGTACAAACTCTGCTGTTGTCCGAAAGTGCCAGGCCTGATAAAACAGAGCCGTTCTTAGGCACAGGCCAACTAGGCTGCCGCCTAGGACCCAAATGCCAAGGGGGCCCCGCCGGGCGCTATTTTTAGCCTCCAACTTGCAAGGCCATATATTTCAGAAGTACAAATTTTTTCTGGTGCCGGAATAATCAATGTGGTTAGTTGTGACACGCGAGCAAAGAGGAAACAATGACGGAGGTAGAGTGGAGGTGCCGCAGTGGTGGGTGGTGTTTTCTCCTCAGCTCCGGGGGGCTCCGCTCCCAGACCCCCTTCTAGAGCCCCTTAACTACGCTCCATGCCTAGGGCCCCCACAATCCTAAGTGCGGCTCTGCTGCATAGAAAGAAAAAGTGACACCTGGGTGGACCACCCGATCCGCCCTATTTCAACGACACTAGCAGGGGCGTAGCTACAGTGTGTGGCGTCAGGGGACAAGATTCATTTTTTACGCCCCACGCCCCTCTCAACTCTGAAAATGATTATTTTCAACCATTAAATAACATCAAAGCTCATTTTTGCCCCCCCCCGTTAGTCTGTCACCCCGGGGCATATGCCCCCTCTGCCATCCCTTAGCCACGCCTCTGGCCACTGCCAAATGGCACAGACCCCCTGAAAATTTGAAATGCCCCCCATCCCCCGGGGAAACTCATCTGAAAAAACGCTGTTAACAATCTGTGCGTGATCGTTTGTCTCCAACGTTAAACTTCTCTCTCTCTCCCCTCTCTCTCTCTCCCTCTCCCCCTCTCTCTCTCTTCCCTCTCTCTCTCCACTCCCTCTCTCTCCCCTCTCTCTCTTCCCCCTCTCCCTCTCCCCTCCCCCTCTCTCTCCCAATCCCTCTCTTTCTCTCTACCCCTCTTTCCTGTCTCTCTCTCCTCTCTTTCTCCTCTCTCTCTCCTCCTCTCTCTCTCCCCTCTCTCTCCCTCATTTCTCTCTCCCCTCTCTCTCCTCTCTCTCTCCCCCCTCTCCCCCCTCTCTCTTTCTCCTCTCTCTCTCTCCTCTCTCTCCCCCTCTCTCTCCCCTTCTCTCTTTCTCCCCCCTCTCTCTCTCTCTCTCCTCTCTCTCTCCTCTCTCTCTCCCTCTCTTCCCCTCTCTCTTCCCCTCTCTTCCCCTCTCTTTCTCTCTCTCTCACCTTCGTTCTTAATCCGAGGCACAGTTCGTTACCCGAGACAAACTTGTCTATACGGAGCAAAATGGCACCTAAGCTCGTGATATTAAGAATATCAATTTAGTTTAAAATACAGAATCAAATATCAATAAATTAAAACTTGATCAAGTTTCTGCACAGCAGACGAAAACGTATAACCCTCGAAAAGTACAACTATTAATACACACACACACACTGACAAAGTGTATAATCTTGTAGTGCTCTTTTGTTACGTTTCGTAAATGTCTAGGAAAATTCGTCAAAATTACGAGTGCCTTGGAACCATCCAGGAATCAAATTCTAGAAATTGCATCACCCCGATAGCATGCTATAGAACAAATTAGATCGTATTTGAACGTAAACAATATTTTCCCAATCAAGGGAGGGGTAGGAAAAGGATACAGCGCTGCACATTAAGTCTGTGACGTCGATATCAAAACAAAAAAGGGGGAGAGAAGTGGTGTAAGCTTTAGTTCTACGATGAAGTGAAATCAATACACGAGCTATAACACAATTCCTCTTGTATCACTTTGGTATCTTTTTTCATTTATCTACTTATAAACCCAACCTACTACATACCTACCTACATACCAACTTCACACCTACCTACATACCTACATACATACCTACCTACATACATACCTACATACTTACATATACATACCTACCTACATAATACATACCTATTTACTACCCACATAAATACCTAACTCCATACCTGTCTATCTACCCCCTACATGCAAACCCACCCACCTACTTACCTATTCATTTGCCTACCAACATACATGCACTTCTGTAAAGATACTTCTTATCATTAGTAGTATTAGTACCCTAGGACTGGGCTCACCAAGCTGTACATACAATTTAACAAACATAATCATGAACTTAAAACTTAGCATTAAATAAAACAAGACAAATGTCTATTCACTCCAGACATTCCAGAACTAATGACATGGCAAGCCATGGACGGCACCTAGCAGCATCGTTTATCGCTCAGAGGGAGGGATCAGTCCGGATAGTAGAGTTTAAAGAGATGTGTTTTGAGTGAAATTTTGAATGCTGTGATGGTCGGTATATTGCGGATGTGTAATGGAAGAGAGTTCCATTGTTTGGGGGCACTGAAAGAGAAAGATCGTTCACTGTATGTTTTTGTGTGAGTCTTGGGGACGGAAAGAATATCTATCTTCCTACCTATCCACCACCTACCTGCCTACCGTCCTACCTACCCACCTACCTGCTTTCCTTCCTACCCACCTAACCTCCGCTTGTTGGACTATTCCACCAGCTGTCATCAAATCAAAAATCCTTTCATTAAAATCATTTATTTAATTTTATTTTATTTATTTATAAAATTTCAATATATAACATTGAGTTTATTTCTAAATTACAGAGACACGAAGAACGCTACACCGAGATGGCTTCGCAAGAAGAAGTGACAAGATCGCCGTTCATAATATGACGTCAACATCACGTGATGGCGTCCAATCACTTCCGACCACACAGCCCCCCCCACTGCGAGCACAAGATGACGGCTCTATCCGAGGACTTGAAGAGATCCAGCCCCCATCTGTCATCGCCTTCGAGTCGTTGACCCTCATCGTCATCTGTCTGGTCGCCCTGCTGGGGAACACGCTGGTCGTCGTTGTGGTGCATCGCAGCAGACGTGTCCAATCCACGACAAACTATTTCGTCACGAGCATCGCCTTCAGCGACGCCTTGCTCGTACTCTTCTCGGCGCCCTTTGTTTGCGCCCAGGTCGTCGTCCAGGAATGGCCGGCAGGGCGCGTCACGTGCCGCGTGGTCCGGTTCCTGCAGTTCGCTGCCATGTCCACCACGTCTTTCGTCTTGGTCGCCATTTGCATCGATAGATTCTACACCGTTATTTATCCCCTCACTTTCAAGGTCACGCGAGGGACTGCTAAAAGAATGATCGTGTTCGCCTGGGTGGTATCGATCCTCATTTCCAGCCTGTGTATTTATTTCTTTGATCTGGTAGAGGTCAAGGACGGGAGGGAGGTCAATGCCACGCGCCCTGTTTGCCCCACGTTGATCCCTGCCAAAAACTGGTCGGGTGTGTTTTATGCCATCCTGTGCGTCACCAGCCAATTTCTCTGTCCGCTTGTAATGGTCTCCATCGGGTATTCCCGAATTCTGTGGTATGTAAGGACGGCGCGCAACCGCGCACGGCGTAGCAGACGGTCTGAGATCCCTGTCCCTAGGACTAAAGTCAAGATGGTGAAGATGCTTTTCTCTCTCACCTTCATAACGCTGATGTTCTACCTGCCGTACTACGCGACTCAGACGGTTTACTGTTTCTCCTACCGGGACTACTTCAGTGGCGATGTTTTTATTGCTTCCTTCTGGATCATCTGCGCTTCCGCGGCCGTTAAGCCGGTCATATACGCCTGCAAGAACAGTAACTTTTGGCGCGGTTGTCAAGAGGTCCTGTGTATGTCCACCATGAGATGTTACCGCTTGAACACTTACGCAGTCACGAGGGCCTCAACTCTCGGCAAGAGGAACTATGTTGGCGTCTTGGATCTGGCCAAGGAGCAGGTCAGCGTCAGCATAGAGTCGCCCGTCGACGTGTACAACAGGAACAAGTATCTGGAGACTTCAGGGTGGTCATTACAAGGTTCTTTGCCAACCACGTCGTTATAGAAATAAATGTGCGTGGCGATGTAGAAAAAGCCACCAGAAATAGTTGCCTTTGTTGGTCATTCCAAGGTTCACTGGCCACTACATCGTCATGGAACTGAACTCAGTGACTCTGTACACAGAATGATCCTTTTGGTCATCAAATGAGTTTATAGCTAAAACATTCCAGGATTGTTTGGGTGTGTTCAATCATCATCATTGAGATGTCACAACACAGACAGAAAAAGAAGACGAATTGGGGGGGGGGGAGGGGGGCGGGGATCTCCATCAATCATTCCACACAGACAAAATAAGAACATTTGAAAGTGGGGGGTGGGGTGGGCGGGTCCTCACTCCAGAACTGAAATTAACTTACACACCTGTCACACATCTTTCACTACCACAAGTTCTTAACTCACACATGTCACATTCATTTGGTCAATTAAGGAAAATTCCTAGAATGTCTTGTACATGTATTGAGAAGATCCGGTGAGCGGACCTTAACATACCGACGATTAGAGGGAATGCCCCCCCCCCCAAGGTCACACGCAAAGCGCACTAGCGTCCCTAAATGGCATCACTAATTTACATCACTACGTCATCCCTAAGGGACATCACTTGGGGAAACCTTCGGGTGACTTCCCATAAGCTTCCCAATTTCTGTCCCTATCCCCATTTCTGTCCCTATCCTCATTTCTGTCCCTATCCCCATTTCTGTCCCTATCTCCATTTCTGTCCCTATCCCCATTTCTATCCCTATCCCCATTTCTGTCCCTATCCCCATTTCTGTCCCTATCCCTATTTATGTCCATATCCTCATTTCTGTCCCTATCCCCATTTCTGTCCCTATCCTCATTTCTGTCCATATCCCCATTTCTGTCCATATCCCCCATTTCTGTCCCTATCCTCATTTCTGTCCATATCCCCATTTCTGTCCATATCCCCCATTTCTGTCCCTATCCCCATTTCTGTCCCTATCCCCATTTCTGTCCCTATCCCCATTTCTGTCCCTATCCCCATTTCTGTCCCTATCCCCATTTCTGTCCCTATCTCCATTTCTGTCCCTATCCCCATTTCTGTCCCTATCCCTATTTATGTCCATATCCCTATTTATGTCCATATCCCCATTTCTGTCCCGATACCCATTTCTGTCCCTATCCTCATTTCTGTCCCTATCCTCATTTCTGTCCTTATCCCCATTTCTGTCCCTATCCTCATTTCTGTCCATATCCCCATTTCTGTCCCTAGTCTCATTTCTGTCCCTATCCCCATTTCTGTCCCTAGCCTCATTTGTTTCCCTATCCTCATTTCTGTCCCTATCCCCATTTCTGTCCCTATCCCCATTTCTGTCCCTATCCCCATTTCTGTCCCTATCCTCATTTCTGTCCCTATCCTCATTTCTGTCCCTATCCTCATTTCTGTCCCTATCCCCATTTCTGTCCCTATCCTCATTTCTGTCCCTATCCCCATTTCTGTCCCTATCCTCATTTCTGTCCCTATCCCCATTTCTGTCCCTATCCTCATTTCTGTCCCTATCCTCATTTCTGTCACTATCCTCATTTCTGTCCCTGTCTCCATTTCTGTCCTTAGCCTCATTTCTGTCCCTAGCCTCATTTCTGTCCATATCCTCATATCTGTCCCTATCCCCATTTCTGTCCCTATCCCCATTTCTGTCCCTATCCTCATTTCTGTCCATATCCCCATTTCTGTCCCTAGTCTCATTTCTGTCCCTATCCCCATTTCTGTCCCTATCCTCATTTCTGTCCCTATCCTCATTTCTGTCCCTATCCCCATTTCTGTCCCTATCCCCATTTCTGTCCCTATCCCCATTTCTGTCCATATCCCTCATTTCTGTCCATATCCTCATATCTGTCCCTATCCCCATTTCTGTCCCTATCCCCATTTCTGTCCCTATCCTCATTTCTGTCCCTATCCCCATTTCTGTCCCTATCCCCATTTCTGTCCCTATCCCCATTTCTGTCCCTATCCCCATTTCTGTCCCTATCCCCATTTCTGTCCCTATCCCCATTTCTGTCCCTATCCCCTAGGAAAATTCCTAGAATGTCTTGTACATGTATTGAGAAGATCCGGTGAGCGGACCTTAACATACCGACGATTAGAGGGAATGCCCCCCCCCCCAAGGTCACACGCAAAGCGCACTAGCGTCACTAAATGGCATCACTAATTTACATCACTACGTCATCACTAAGGGACATCACTATGGGAACACTTCGGGTGACTTCCCATAAGCAGATTGATGTGTGTGTGCGTCTGTCCCTATCCTCATTTCTGTCCCTATCCTCATTTCTGTCATTATCCTCATTTATGTCCCTATCCCCATTTCTGTCCCTATCCTCATTTCTGTCCCCTTCCCCATTTCTGTCCCTATCCCCATTTCTGTCCCTATCCCCATTTCTGTCCCTATCCTCATTTCTGTCCCTATCCCCATTTCTGTCCATATCTCCATTTCTGTCCCTATCCCCATTTCTGTCCCTATCCCCATTTCTGTCCCTATCCCTATTTATGTCCCTATCCCCATTTCTGTCCCTATCCCCATTTCTGTCCCTATCCTCATTTCTGTCCATATCCTCATTTCTGTCCTTATCTCCATTTCTGTCCCTATCCCCCATTTCTGTCCCTATCTCCATTTCTGTCCCTATCCCCATTTATGTCCCTATCCCTATTTATGTCCATATCCCCATTTCTGTCCCTATCCTCATTTCTGTCCCTATCCTCATTTCTGTCCCTATCCTCATTTCTGTCCATATCCCCATTTCTGTCTATATCCCCCATTTCTGTCCCTATCCCCATTTCTGTCCCTATCCTCATTTCTGTCCCTATCCCAATTTCTGTCCCTATCCCCATTTCTGTCCCTATCCTCATTTCTGTCCCTATCCCCATTTCTGTCCCTATCTCCATTTCTGTCCCTATCCCCATTTCTATCCCTATCCCCATTTCTATCCCTATCCCCATTTCTGTCCCTATCCCTATTTATGTCCATATCCTCATTTCTGTCCCTATCCCCATTTCTGTCCCTATCCCCATTTCTGTCCATATCCCCATTTCTGTCCTTATCCCCCATTTCTTTCCC